ATGGCCACCTAGTAACGGCCCCGACCACTGCCGCTCGACCTGACCGGAAAAAACTGTAGCAGGAAGCTAGCGAAGTCGTAGTATATATCGTCACAAACAGAACTGCCCGGTAAAACCGTAGGCAGAGAGAGAGAAGAGGACAACAAACGAGGGGCATATATAAACATACCTCAAAGAAAGGAAGACCCAGTTTCTCTGCCACTCGATCGAGTGCTCCACTTGTTGGCATTGATCTTGCAAGGCCCTTTTTGCAATTCGTGGAAAAAAAAGTAAAAAAAAAAAGTGGACAAGACAACAAAAGGCACAACAGTCCAGTGAGCTCTTCCTTTTCTTTTTTTCTTTTTTGCGATTTTTCTTTTCTTTTTTCTTTTTTACGAGGAGTGGGAAAAAAAGCGGAATCGCATGCGACAAGACAACAAAAGATACAAGAGTACAGCAAGCTCTTCCTTTTCTTTTCGTTTTTCCTTTCTTTTTTTGTTTTTTCCTTCTCTTTTCTGTTTTTGGGACTTCAGAATGACTATGTGCTGTGGTTATGATCAACGTACATTTCTGGGCATCAGGCCCGCCGTGCGAACTGGCACCCTCAGCCACAGGAACCGAGTCTCGTATCCACTACAACCCTTGGAAGTGACACTGTTATAAAAACTGCACATGACCAGCTATGGGCAGATAAGTCAAGACTCAAAAGAAGCCACTCTGGGGGGGGGGGGCAATTAAAATAATACTATAATAGTATAATTATATAATACTAGCACAATTTCAATTTTTTTTTACAGACACTCCTGCTCGCACAATCATGTGAGATACGCACTCTTGGCCACGCTCGTTAAAGCGTCGAGAACTTGAGACACACACAATCATTGTTGCCTGTATTTGGGGCGACTGTCCGGTTAGATACAGGGAGGGATAATGATCGAAAGTTCTACGCAGGTCAACACAGTACTGTCCACTTCACGACTGCGAAGCGAGGTCGCAGCACTACACGCAGTCGTAAAGTGGACCGTACTGTCTTCGACTGAAGAAAACTTACGGTCAATATTCCTGTATCTAACCTGAAAGTTGGCCCAAATACGGCAATAATGAAGGGGCATTCTATTTGGAGGAAGACGTGCTAGGCTGGGAGAAGGTATGGCTCCCACGCCAGGCCACTCACCTAGACGGGGCATTCTATTCGAGAAGCAAAAACAAACAAAAAAAGAAAAGAAAAAGAAAGAAAGAAAGAGCCTCGCCTAATCGGGGGAGACTCTACATATTCACCGACTAGAGTTCAATCAGCAGAGGCCCAGGCACAAACTCGAGTAATGAAACAGTGAGGCAGACACTCAGGCAATGCAGACCATGCATTGATTTTTTTAATTTTTAAATTTTTTTGTTGAAAAAATTTGAATGTTTTATTCCGAAAAAAGAAAGGGGAATTCTCACCTTAACACCGTTCTTAAAATATGGGATGCACGCTTGCGCATTAGCAGCAATTATCGCAACTGAGTCCGATGGCGTAATGAAGAAATTGCGCCCCAAGATCATGTTCCGGTCACCATCGCCTGAAGAAACAACGACCAGGTGGGGTTTCATCTCAGGGACACGGCAAAAAATTAAAAAAAAAAAAAGAAAAAAAAAGAAAAAAAAAAAAAAAGAAAACAAAGACAGAAGAGAGTATGGGATGCATGCTTAGCAGCAAAATTCCAGCGACAGGCTTTAAACTTTAAAGTTTAAACAAAGAAATTACGGACCAATGTGTGTGTGCGTGTGTGTGTGTGTGTGTGTGTGTGTGTGTGTGAGAGAGAGAGA